CTTTATATGTCTTGTGACTGTACCTACGTGAGAGTCTGCATAGGGTGTACATCTAGGAGTAGAATTACTGGGTCATAGGAAATCGTTTCTATTCACTTTTACCTAGATGATGCAAATTTACTTCCCAAAATAGTTTAACTGTGTGTTTCTTCTAGCCACGTTTAAATGTCCCAGTTATTTTTCACCTACATGTGACAGGTTTTTTCCTGTTTGGTAGGTGTGTAAAATATCTTCTTAGCGGACTTTGTTGCTTATGAAGGTTATTTATTAAGGGGGTTTTATCTTCAAGTGTTTCCTCATTTTAGGTTTCCTTTCTGCAAACTGCTATTCAAGTCTTTTGTAAATTATTTTTTATTGGGAGGTTTTTAAAAAAATTGCTTTGTGGGATTTCCTTTTGTAGTCTAGATGTTATTCCACTGTCAATTGTTGCAAATATCTTTTCTCAGTTTATGGTTTCTTACTCTGTTTATGGTGTCTTTTTGATGAATTGACATTTTCAGTTTTAATTGTCATATTCATCTTCACTCTCAATCTTAAGATCATGGAAATATTAACCTATATTTTCTACAGAAGTTCTATGATTTTGCCTTTCACATTTAAATCTGCATAATAGCTGGAATTGATCTTTGTGTATGGTGAGAAATAATGGTCAGGTTTCTTTTTTTAATTTTTGATCAATTGTTTGAGGACCATCTTTTGAAAATTTCTTTTTTCTTCTTTGAGCTGCAGTGTTAACTTTATCGTAAGTCTTCATTTATTTTTGCTTTGTGTCTAGGCTTTCTTTTCTGTTTTGTTGGTTTATATAACCGTTTGCCAACACTACACAGTTTTATTTACTGGAAATTTACAATAATTCTTAGTCTAGTAAGATAAATCCCTTCACTTTATATGCTTGGAGTGTCTTGAGCCATTAGGATTGTAGACTTGAGTGTAAATTTCGGAATTGGGTTCTCAGATTACACACACACACACACGGGTTCTCAGATTACACACACACACTCGGGTTCTCAGATTACACACACACACACACACGGGTTCTCAGATTACACACACACACTCGGGTTCTCAGATTACACACACACACACACTCGGGTTCTCATTTTACAAACACACAGGTTCTCAGATTACACACACACGCACTCGGGTTCTCAGATTACACACACACACACTTGGGTTCTCAGATTACACACACACACACTCGGGTTCACAGATTACACACACACACGGGTTCTCAGATTACACACACACACTCGGGTTCTCAGATTACACACACACACACACACACACTCGGGTTCTCATTTTACAAACACACGGGTTCTCAGATTACACACACACGCAGTCGGGTTCTCAGATTACACACACACACTTGGGTTCTCAGATTACACACACGGGTTCTCAGATTACACACACACACACACACTCGGGTTCTCAGATTACACACACACACACTCGGGTTCTCAGATTACACACACACACTCGGGTTCTCAGATTACACACACACTCGGGTTCTCAGATTACACACACACACTTGGGTTCTCAGATTACGCACACACGCTCACACACACACTCGGGTTCTCAGATTACACACACACACTCGGGTTCTCAGATTACACACACACGCTCACACACACTTGGGTTCTCAGATTACACACACACACGGGTTCTCAGATTACACACACACACTCGGGTTCTCAGATTACACACACACACACGGGTTCTCAGATTACACACACACACACTCGGGTTCTCAGATTACACACACACTTGGGTTCTCAGATTACACACACACACTCGGGTTCTCAGATTACACACACACACTCAGGTTCTCAGATTACACACACACACTTGGGTTCTCAGATTATGCACACACGCTCACACACACACTCAGGTTCTCAGATTACACACACACACACACTCTCCTCTTTGGGAGTTTCTTGAGAACCACTTTGAATTTATAGATCATTTTATGCAAGAATTAACATGTTTAAGTTCTCCAGTCCATGAACATAGTAGTTCCCTTTTTTAGTTAGGCCTTATTAAGTACGATTTGTCTCTAAGGTCTAATATCTTTTGTCAAATCTAGTTGTAGGTATTTTATGTTTTTTAGTGATGTAGTTTACAAAATTGTATTTTATTGGTTTCTGTATATTAATTAAATCCAATACTATCACCTGATTCTTTTAGGTTTTCTTTATGGTAAATCATATCATCTTTGAATAAATTTTAGACAGTTTTTTCCTCCGGGTTTTATTTTTTATTTTGCCTGATTTGCCAGTTGAGGCCTCCAGTATAACTGAATAGTGATGAGCAAGAGCACCCTTATTTCTTTATTGTAATGTTTTTATTTTTTCATAGTTATTGGGGTACAGGTGGTGTTTGGTTACATGAGTAAGTTCTTTGGCGGTGCTCTGTGAGATTTTGGTGCACCCATCACCAGAGCAGTGTACACTGCACCCTATTTATAGTCTTTTATCCCTTGCCCCTCCCCTCCTTCTCCCCAAGTCCCCAGAGTCCATTGTATCATTCTTATGCCTTTGCATCCTCATAGTGTAGTCCCACATATCAGTGAGAACATAGATGTTCTCATGGTGTTGGGTTTTCCATTCCCGAGTTACTTCACTTAGAATGGTAGTCTCCAATCTCATCCAGTTTGCTGCAAATGCCATTCATTCATTCCTTTCTGTGGGTGAGTAGTATTCCGTTGTGAATACACATACCACAATTTCTTTATCCGCTCATTGATAGATAGGCATTTGGGATGCTTCCATGATTTTGCAGTTGTGAACTGTGCTGCTAGAAACAGGCATGTGCAAGTATCTTGTTCGTCTAACGACTTGTTTTCCTCTGGGTAGATACCCATTAGTGGCCTTGCTGGAGCAAATGGTAGTTCTACTTTTCGTTCTTTGAGGAATCTCCACGCTGTTTCCGTGGTGGCTGTACTAGTTTACACTCCCACCTGCAGTGTAGCAGTGTTCCCTGGTCACCGCATCCACTCCAACAGCCACTGTTTCTGGTTATGGCCATTGTTGCAGGACTGAGGTGGTATCGCATTGTGCTTATGATTTGCATTTCCCTGATTACTAGTGATGTTGAGCATTTTTTCCATGTTTCTTGGCCATTGTACATCATCTTTTGAGAGTTGTCTATTCATGTCCTTAGCCTACTTTTGATGGGATCGTTTTACTGATTTGTTTGAGTTTGTTGTAGAGTCCGGATATTAGTCATTTGTCAGGTGTGTAGATTGTGAAGTTTTCTCCAACTCTGTGGGGCGTCTGTTTACTCTGCTGACTGTTCCTTCTGCCATGCAAAAGCTTTTTAATTAAATCCTCTATATTTATCTTTGTTTTTTATTGCATTTACTTTGGGTTCTTTGTGATGAAATCATTGCCTATGCCAATGTCTGGAAGGATTTTTCCAGTGTTATCTTATGGAATTTGTACAGTTTCAGGTCTTAGATTTAAGTCGTTAATCCATCTCGAGTTGACTTTTGTCTAAGGTGAGAGATGAGGATCCGGTTTCATTCTCCCACGTGTGGCTAGCCGAGTATCCCAGCACCATTTGCTGAAAAGGGTTCCCTTTCCCCACTTTGTTTTTCTTTGCTTTGTTGAAGATCAGTTGGCTGTAAGTATTTGGGTTTATTTCTGAGTTCTCTATTCTGTTCTGTTGGTGTGTGTGCCTATTTTTATACCAGTACCAGGCTGTTTTGGTGACTATGGCCTTACAATATAGTTTGAAATGAGATAGTGTGATGTCTCGGATTTGTTCTTTTTGCTTAGTCTTGCTTTGACTTTGTGGGTTCTTTTTTGGTTCCGTATGAATTTTACAATAATTTTTTTCTAATCCTGTGAAGAATGATGATGGACGCTTGTTTCTTATTTTACTGCTTTCATATGGTCATTTTAAAATAAATAGCTTTTTTACACAGAATGTTCTGCAGATGTTCATTGTAGTGTTCTAATGCCAACTGAGAAGTGTTAAAATTGTGTTGTTGAAATTCCATATAGCCTAAGTAAATTTGTGTGTGTGCCCACATCAACTGTGGAGGGAGACATGGCAGAAGCTCTCATTTTGATGGTAGGAAGTCAGTTTTTTTCATGTAATTCTTTTGATTTTTGCTTTATTTTGGTGTGATAATATATGAATTATGTCCACTGGCGATTTGAACGTTTAACGTCATGTAGGAGCCTTCTTTATGTTTAGTAATATTCTTTGCTTCAAAGTCTCTTTTGTCTGATACTCGTTTCGCAGTTTTTCTGTAGTGAGTAGTCACCTCGTAGATATTTTTCTATGCTTATTTTCAACCCATTTTTTATCCTTATGTTTCAGGTGTGTTTCTTATAAACAACATATAGCTGAGTTTCTTAAAAGTTACTCGGACAGTCTTTGAGTTTTACTTGAAGCATTGCATTCTTTTCGTTTTCGTTGTTTCTATAGAGTGTTATGTTGTGCTTTACACCTATTAAGTTTTTCTTTCTCCATTTTTTTAGGATTGATTGTTGTTTATTTCATCTGTTACTAGTTTGAAAGTTAATATATTACTTTTTCTGCGCTGTTAGTGATGACTCTGCATTTTAATGCCCTCACCTAACTTACAAACTTCTGAAGTTAGTTACTTCCCTGTCCTTCCCTTATGTGATACAAGGCCCTTAGAGCACTTCAGTAGACTCTGGAGTCATTACCTGGAAATTATATGCTAGTCTGTTGTGCTTGAATGATAAAACTGTAAGCCCCCGTGGCACACCGTCTGTTATGTATCTAACCAATGCTCAGTTTCAATCCCATTTACACTTGTCTTTTGCTCATTATTCCTCCTTCATTTTGGACCATCTCAATTTCCTTTTGCCTAAAGTACATCCTTTCAAATTTTTTTTTTTAGTGAAAGACTGTAGCTATTTTTTCTGTCTGAAAATTTTTATTTTGACTTTGTTCTTAAAAAAAAAGTCCATTAATATTTTCTCTAAAACACAAGAGTTGTTATTTCTTTGCATTCTGGCATTCATTGTACCTATTAAGTCAGCTGACAGTGATTTCTCTGAAGGTCATCTGTGTTTTCTTTTGATCTACTTTAAAGATTTATCTTGACATTGTTGATATTCTTGTCTTGCCACTGTTAATTTTCTGTAGTTTCATATAATGTGCCTGGGTACGAATTTCTTTTCGTTTATTCTGCCTGGTCTTGTAGCTTTGTGAGTTCGTCTCTTTCGTCAGTTCTAGAAATTCTTGGCCATGTTTTTTCTTACAAATATTGTCTCGCTCAGCATCAAAATCTAGATTTCCTTAAACAATATCTTCCTATCGTGAATCTTCTCTTTGGTTGCTTTAAATCTGGTGTTAACCCTTTACGTTGAGTTTTAATGTTTTAGTTTCTTGTTCTGTATTTTCAAGTGTGCCTGGTAGTTTTCACAGTCCTCTGCTCTGATTAACGTGTTCATCTCTGTACACGTACTGCCTCATTCTACTCTACGTTGGATTCTAGTATCTGAACCCGCTAAAGTGGGCTTATGCTCGTAAGGTTTGATGGCCAGCCTTCATAGCACTGTTTCTTTTGTATTTTGTGGGTTTTGACTGAGCTTGTATTGTAGACCTTTATCTGTGGCATCATTAGAGACCCCAGGTTGTTTTTGCCAGGAGCACTGCCAGCTTGTGACCTTTTTAAATGCTCCACTTAAGGATTTTTGTACCATCCAAGCGGAGTGGCCCAAAATTCCATATGAAGTCTCCATTGGAGTTACCACACCTCCAGGAAGATTTCTTAGCTGCCTCCCCATAGCAGGCTTTGAAATAGGTCATTTTCCTTGTGTCTTCTGGGGTGGGTGGAAGTGGAGGCAGGGGGCAGAATTGTTTTTAGTTCATCCAGAAGATATGGCAGTGGCTTTATACAGGGCATTTTGGAAATAAAACTCTCTCTAAGAAAGGACTTTTCTTTTTCCTGTATTCCTGCCATTCCAGGTCCTGCCGGTCTCGAGCTGCACCAGCCTTCATTTTACCCGCCTTGCTGGTTTCTCGTGTTCACTTCATGTTTTTGACTCTTGTATACGTCCTGCTGATTTCCTCAGTAATAGCACTTCGATGCGTTTGTAGAATCTGAAAAGTATTGTAATCTGGGACATGTAGTTGTTTTCCACTGGAGAGTTGGCCCAAGGCACTGTCCAAAAGGACTTGTGGTCACGAGCAGGTCACACCTTGCAGGTCTTAATCCTGTACTGACAGTTTGGAATCAGTAAATTTTTTTTTGTTTTCATTCAGCTTAAATTTAGGTTTCTAAAGTGGAAAGCTTTTTGTATTTTTTTCTGGGAAAAAAAATATTTTATAGGCAGGGTGCAGGTGGGTCATTCTTGTAATCCCAGCACTTTGGGAGGCCGAGGTGGGCAGATCACGAGGTCAGGAGATTGAGACCATCCTGGCCAACCTGGTAAAACCCATCTCTACTAAAATACAATAAAATTAGCCAGTCATGGTGTTGCACGCTCCAGTTATTTGGGGGGCTGAGGCAGGAGAATTGCTTGAATCCCAGAGGCAGAGGTTGCAGTGAGCCAATACTGTGCCACTGCACTCCAGCCTGGTGACAGAGTGAGACTCCATCTCAATTAAAAAAAAAAAATGCTTTAAGCATGCAAGATTTTTAAAGTAATTTAAACTGAAAACAAGGCACGAAAACTTGCAGGATTTCTTTCCTTCGACCTAATTAATGTACACCCTTAGCCCAGTGACTTTTAGAACTTCACATCTTGCCTTTATCTCCCTCCTGAACTTACATATTTCTAAGTTCCTACCCTTTTAAAGTCTGCTCTATGAATGCAAGATATTTTTACATTTTATTTATGTTTTTTATATCGTATATTTTGAACTGCAAACAGGGCACAAACCTGCAGGCGTTGTCTGTGTCCTCCAAATCCCGGGCACTGCCAAGAGCATAGTAGTTACTGAGGGGATTGAAAGGAATAAATTTACTATTTTTGGCTTTATGGGTATACTTGGACAATAAAGTCGCGAACAGTGTCAAACATGACGTTTACAATCAATCATTCTTGTTCATGGAGATTGGTTTTTTAGATCTTTCTACATTTTGATCCCCCAAATCACATATTTAAATGTGAACGTTTTGCCAAAAGAGGGCAGTATTCACCTACAGTAGAACGTAAAGGGAACAAAAATGACTGCAGTGAGAAGGATGAACTCGTTTTCCTCCGAAGATGGGTCCACTTGTCTGATCATCTGGGGCCAGTTTTCATTCGTTTTCCTATTACTTTTAAATATTTGAAACATTTTTGTTTGAAAATGTCAGTCCTTAAAGATAGAGCCAAAAATCTGTTTAAAAATACCTGCTTACAGAATGACCAAAAGGTAGACGTTTTACTACAAAACATATTTATTAAATTTTCACGTGTCCCCAAAGGGGACCGCTCACTTCAGGGAAACGTGGCTAGTTCAAACCACTGTTGAAAAGTGCAGCCAGGGGGCGCTGCTGCCACCGTGTCCCGAGGGCGCTCGCACCTGTTCCACGTCACATACACACACCTGGGTTTGTCCGTCAGTCGTCTCTACAAGGAAGTGTGTGAGTTCGTGGGTTTAACTGTAATGTTCAACATTAAAGGAAGAAATCGGAAGTAGCCCTTTTGAGTCTTACAAGAGTGAAATGTGTTGGGGTTCAGAAGCAGAATATAAAGAAGGAAATTAACCAATTTTTATGAGCATAGTTTGGAGTAAGGAATATGTGCACCTAGATGAACTAACTAGAGCTCTGCCTGCCCTTTAGATTTTATCTGTTACCTGATAAAAAAGAAGAAAAGCTGTTTTGCGTTGTTTCAATACATTATTTGGGCTTCAGAAGGACAGCTAGGGGCTAAAAGGCCGGGGCTTTCATCCAATGTGCAGTGGAAGCAACTTTGGGGAAAGTCTGTTTGCATTATGCTGCCTGAAACACGGTGTTTTAGAGAGAGGCTTTTGCACTGACAAGCTGCTCGTCCTCGCCTCTGTGAGTCCAGTGCCTCCTAGAGCAGCTGATGCCCTCAGCCCTGTAATGTGATACCCCTCCTCCTGGATTGGCCAGAGGGGTGTCCTTTCCCTGGGAGCCGCTTTCCACCACTGCTCCCAAACGTGGCTCAGCCCAGCAGCCACCGTCACCACCACCGCGGTTGCTGCTGCAGCTGCAGCTGCTGCTCTCCCTTCGGCTGCTGCTTAGCGTGGCCAGCAGCGAATGGAGCGATGGAGCCCAGACTGCTCTGCTGGACCAGCCTCTTTCTCCTGGCCGGGTGGTGCCTGCCAGGGTTGCCCTGCCCCAGCCGCTGCCTTTGTTTTAAGAGCACCATCCGCTGCATGCACTTGATGCTGGACCACATTCCTCAGGTGCCACAGCAGACCTCAGTCCTGTAAGTTCACACGATTTCCGGGAAACCCTGTCCCACATGCTTCATCGCTTCTCTGCTAGGATGCCGTGTCCTCCTCCTAATGTACGATTCCTAATGCGCTCCCTGCTTGTGTACTTAGGAGAGGCTTTTCACTTTTCAAACAATTTCATGGTTCTGCTCTGTTAGACTAGAAAATATGAGCAGTGATGAGCTGACATAAATATCTTTGTTTCGGGTTCGGTTCTCTTCCAGCATCTTCCAGAACTTACCGTTGAGAATTCTCATCTTCATTCCTCCTTCAGTAGTTTTCCTGCATAGGTTCTCAGTTTACTCCTTTTCATCCTCTGCTCCCACATCTTCGGGTCTCTTAATTGGTCAGCATGTGTCTGTCCCATTTTGGAAGGAACTAGTTTAACTTTACAGTGTGGTTTCAATCGATTATTTGCTGGCAAAGTGTTAGGCTCTGGACTGTGTGTCCCCAGCACAGACCCTCAGATGGTCCAGAAGAGTTCTTGAATGCTTAAAAGCCCTGCAGAGAAGCCGCTTAGACTAACCGGCATCTAGGAGGCCTCATGGGATAGGAGGGGAAACCAGAATTTGGAAGCCAAACAGGTCTGAGCTCAAATGCTACCGTCTCATCTTTACTATTGGTATAATAAACCCAAATGTTTTAATTTATTTAGATTAAGTCATAATTAGATAATTGGAAGGGCAATTCACCACAAAAGAAGGGTCTGCTTCTAGGGTCTATTTTTAAAGGAAAAAAAAAAGAACAAATTCAAAAATATTAAAAAATAAAAAACAGAAGAAGGACAAATGCCAAAAGATGCACACTGAAGAGGCTTCCTGCTCTATAATAAACGTTGTGTGGATCGTGTCGTGTTCATGGAAGACAGAACTGCTTGCAGTGTTTCGAGTCAATTCGAGGGAAAGGGAAATAGCTTCAAATTCCTGGAATTTTGAGAAACATGTTTAAAAGGATCAATGCCACACATTTGTCAGCCATAGTCATGAAATGAGGACTTGGTAATAAAAAGTCCAATTTGATGCTATTCCCATAGCAAATGACAGATGTGATCCGTAGGTTTTCATTTCTGTAAAGCATTTCATTAATTTTATATGCATTCAAATATCAAAATCAGCCTTACTGTAATAATAAAAGGGTTCTTGAACCTGGGACCACTGCCTATTGCTGTGCGGACAGCACAGCTCTAGAGGTGCCTTCAGACCCTGAACCAGCTGCTTGTCCTTTTGCAATGAGAGTTTTTGTTAGATAGCAGCAAAGTCTTAGAGAAGGGGCTGCTTGTCTAATCAAGTGGCTTAGAGCTACCTAAGGTCCAACTCGACCTCAATTTTGTTTCCTAGGTGTTTCAAAGAAGAGATTAGCACCCATTAGACACACATCTCTAAAGGTAATGAGCAGAACTGAAGGGACATCGATATTGTGCAGAGCCTTCCAGTGTTTAAAAATAAAGCTCAATGGTTGCTTTCTCAGGCCCTTGACAGGGAGTCTCGTGCCGCTGCTGACAGAATGTGTGTTGCCTTAGAGACGTTCTCAGCTTCTTGGCATCTTGATTTCTAATCTGTAAAAATGGAGATGCTAACAGCGTTTGCCATGGTTTGGATCTGTGTCCCCACCCAAATCTCATGCTGAATTGTAACACCCAATGTTGGAGCTGAGACCCGGTGGGAGGTGATGGGATCGTGGGGGTGGTTTAACACCATCCCCCTTGGTGGGTCACGGCAAGAGTGAGTTATCATGAGATCTGGTCATTTAGAAGTTTGTAGCTCCTCCTGCTTTTCTTTCCTCTTGCTCTGGCCGTGTGAAATGCTCACTCCCACTTTACCTTCTGCGATGACTGTAAGTTTCCTGAGGCCTCCCCAGAAGCCAAGCAGAAGGTGCTGTGCTTCCTGCACAGCCTGCAGAACTGTGTGCCCGTTAATCCTCTTTTCTTTATAAATTACCCAGTTTCAGGTATGTTTTTATTGCAGTGTGTGAGAGCAGACTAATGCCGTGTTCACATTCTTGGTTATTTTGAAGATTAAATGAGTTAATGCATTTTAAGTACCCAGGAAATTGTCTAGCACCAGTAAACACTGGAAGTTTTCACTGTTAGCATCATGTTTGCAATAAAGGACAGAAGTTACAAACTTAAATGTCTCCGGGAACCTGGCAGTAAGTAATTTGAGGGAAGTGGGGTAGATGAAAGACAAACTACCATGTGAGTAGAATGACGGATAGCAGCTAGCCTCAAGCTTGGAGTGTGTGGGGATGGTAATGGGGCAGCCAGCTACTTAGCTGATGGATGGCCTCTGGGAATTTGGGCCATAGTTTCACGAAAATATGGAAGCCAAAAGTGACATTCTCTAGCTTTTCAATATTAGCAGCTAATTACGTCTTTAGAAATGGAAAGGTAAAAATATACAAGCCCGTGGCCAGGCGCAGTGACTCACACCTGTAATCCTAGCACTTTGGGAGGCCGAGGCGGGTGGATCACGAGGTCAAGAGATCGAGACCATCCTGGTCAACATGGTGAAACACCGTCTCTACTAAAAATACAAAAAATCAGCTGGGCATGGTGGCGCATGCCTGTAATCCCAGCTACTCAGGAGGCTGAGGCAGGAGAATTGCCTGAACCCAGGAGGCGGAGGTTACAGTGATCCGAGATAGCGCCATTGCACTCCAGCCTGGGTAACGAGCGAAACTGCATCCCCCCCACAAAAAAGATATATATATACACACACACACACACACACACAAGCCCAACCACGCCTATTTGTACGTTGTACGTTGCTTTTTGCCCAGGGCCTTCAGTGTGTGACTTCTACTAGAGAAATAGTATAAAAGCTGATGTGTATGCTAAGCCTGTGAGAATTGGTCCTCTGCTCCTCTGGGGCTAAGAATCCTTGATGTCGGGTTGCATTTTACGTAAGCAATATCATGAAAGATGACAATCACAATTCTGAAAACGAAAAAGCCAATTTAGTTTTTGAAAACTAAGGCAAACGGAAGCCGGCTGAATTTCTTCCCTAGCAGCAGAACCAGTAGTTTCTGTTAAACCACCTGATGTGTGTATTGTCACCATAACGTGGAAATAATGTGATAAAATATTTAGCTCTGCAAACGGCCGACATGGCTGTTAGATGCTAATTCATAGTATTGTTAACATTTCCTTTTTTTCCATTTTTACATGGTTTCAAAATTGTAACCTGAATGCAGAAAATACTTTCCCAAATTGTGGATAAGAAAACTTTATTAGTTTAAAGATTGGTTGTAGTTGATCAGGGTTTTAAGTTGAGAAAAATGCAAAACTGTCCCTCTAAAGTTCAATTTCGTCCCACCTATAAAGATACGCTGTTTCTAGCTAGTGTCATTTACCAAATAGCCTGCTGCCACGAGAAAATCTCACCCTTCATGCTGTAGATTTTAGTAAAACAAATCTTTCAGAATTCAAATTTGCAAACAAAAACATGTCCAGCAGTGAACTCAGCATCTTTAGGGAGGCTGTTCGGTAATCAGAAGCAGTGTTTGGTGAGTGTGATTTGACTCCATCCTGTCCCAGAGTCATTAGCTTGTGTTTCCTAATTTCCCCAGTTACTGGCTAAGAAATAGGATGTTTTACTGTAATAACTGAAAAGATTCTTGAACTTGGGACCACTCCTGAGAATCCTCAGGATGGGAGGTGGAGACTCATGCGGACTCAATGACTGCAAATTGAACATGTGCTGAAAACCACCTTGATTATATTAGGAAAAGTTTAAGCTTAGGGCTGTTTTAATGATTGAGGATTTTCCCAAAAGCCATAAATACAAAAGTATGTATGATGTGAAATTCTAAACATGTAATTTAATTTAAAGGCATTTTCTGTATATAGAAAGCTTTCTTTGCTGCCCAAGTAATACAAAAGCTTGGGGGAAAAGGCGGGGGTGGGGAATTGGCAAATGTCTTAAGGTCAGTCATGAGAAAATGTGTCCAGCTGAAAAAAATTTCACCTTGTTCAAGAAGAAAATAGAAATCCTTCAGCTTTTTCCAATTTCCATTCATTATATATATATAGTGATGTGTTATGGAGCAATAGGGAGTAGTTGCCACCTGAGGCAGCAAAATTATATATATATCATTTTATAATTTATGAATAAAACATTATGATCTAAGTTACATATAAAATTTTATAATAACAACCTAATAGGAGATACTTTGATCTTTGTTACAAATGGTTTGTAGCTTGTTTGTAACCGACATAACTTACTGGCTTTGAATGATCCCTTAGCAGTAACGAACAGGCCTGAACTCCTTAGACCTTCCCCCACCTGCCCCTGTTGAGGGAAAGCTCAATGGGACTCAGCTGAACTGTGTCAACATTCTGACTTCCCCGTCAGGGAGAGAAATGAAACCAAACGTGGGCTGTCACTGCCCTCCCGACTCAGGTCCGTGTGGTCCTGTGGAGAGGGGCTGGAAGAGGCTTTTCAGAAGGAAGACCAGGTGAGTGTGGATGGAGCCGAAGTGGGATAGTGGATGTAAGGACAGTGAGGAGGGGACAGCCTGAGGAGGCAGAGCAGTAAAGACCAGCAGTTGTCTGCACCACTGGCTGAGGTGTAACGTACCCTGTTGACTTGGGAGTCATCCTTCAAGAACCAGATGGACAGGAAAATTGCTTTAGAAGGTCAGTGGAGCTCGGATATCCTACGACAGCCTGTACTTAGATGGCATCTGCTGATTAAAGTATTAGAACAGTGTTTCCTACACTAAGCGCTGCATCTCAGCCCTCCTGTAGGTTCTGTAAATGAGGTGAGGGAATGTGTTAGGGAATAATAGCTCTGTGGGGAGTAGCTGCCGTCGGAGGCGGCAAAGCTGTGGTCTCTGCTAGCTGGAGAGCACTGCACACGGGCGAGGTTGAATGACAGCACAAGTCTGGTGTTAGAAGGACCAGTTCTGCTTTTGCATTTATAGAGTAAAAAGGAATGGTGAATGTCCTCATTTGTCAACAAGATGGGCAACATTGACAGTGAAATGCGTGAAA